ATAAACCTGTAAAGGATCCCTGTAGCCGTGTCATTGTTATAGTACTGCTGTTAAGAAGGCCACGGTACTGTAACATTACTTTTGGCTTATAACTAAATATATGAATTTTGTAAATTTCTATATATTTAATTAGAAATGCAAGGCTAGTTAAAAAGACCGTTTTTGTGAAAATTTGCTTTGCAATAAATTTTCATAGAAAATTTTTTAATAATTCTCGATCATGATTGGCTGATTTTGGGGTCAAAACAAATCGGCCAATATGATATATATTATATATATTATTTTATAAATTTAAGCAATAGCAAAAAAATAGATTTTATTACTAAAATTTTTATCCAAGTTATAGACCTGGGTTTAATTTATGGCAAGTCTACTATTTTGGTGGTCTTTTTTTTTTTTTTTGGTCTTAAGGTGACCCTTTTGGTCAGTATTTTATTTATGTTTAACAGGTTACTTTTTACAGTATCAGTTTCGCATCAACTGTACATATATTTCTATATACATAACCTCAAACTAATATTTATAACTATCTTAGAACAATTTTATTCTCAGGGTAAACCTACTAGAGCCTTCTATTTTCCTTACTATTAATGGCTAACCTAGTTTTAATGCCCTTATAAGGTTCACATAGCCACCGCAACCAGAACCCCAGTCCGTAAGCCGTATTAGACTTCTGCTACCTCCTTATTCAGGTCTTGCCAAGCAGGTTTCTGTCTTCATTGGTTCTATAGATTTACACAGACACAAGGACTTATCGTGAGTTTGCACTGCCTATACCAGCTTGCATTCCTTTGTACAACTCTTCTGTTATACAAATGCTATGCGATTTTCCAAATCTTGACTCGGTTTCTAGTAAACCTTCTGAAATAAGCTATCCCGGGTCAGGCACAAACCTAATTTTGGGTAGTGATTATCCTAGCCACTATTTGGTCTGACTATAGTTACAGGATCGAATATCCCAACCTTAAGAAGACAGTTACCATAACACAAATAGAAATTCCAATTTTCGTTACCGGTAGAGTTCGAACTCTTGACTTGCCACTTGGGGTGACAACTTAAGCACTTCACTAAGTCGCCACACCCTTTTCTATTTTGGTGGTCTTGTATATGCACTTTTACAATACTTCTTGTATATTTTATACACTCCTTGTATATTTTATATATAATTATATATAATTATATATAAAATATGCAAGAAGTATATAAAATATGCAATAGATAAATAAAATATGCAAGAGATATATAAAATAGGCAAAATTTATATAATTCTATTTAAATTTTGTAATTGTCAAATAATTAATTCTGGTATTTTGAGAAATAATCAATTGACAATCTCCAGGAGAAGCTATATTAAGCTCTTAAATGTCAGCTTCCCAATAGCTTTGTATCTAAATAATAGCTTCGCATTTAGACAATAGCTTCATATTTAAACAACTTACAATAATAAGTTTTTAATCAAAGATTATTTTAAAATAATAACTTTATATCAAACAATAATATAGCCTTTAAGGTTTTATCTTTGAGGCTTTATTCTTTATAAAAGACTTTAACTTTTATTATAAATTTTGGCATTAATAAGAAATTGGCCTTTATAGAGAATTTGCAGGATTCGCAGAATATCATTTGAGGTGGTAGGTTTCGTCTTTTGTCATTTTGCAAAAGGGTTTTGTCTAACAACATTATTCGTACCCGGGTATTTTACATCAAATATACTCCGGGTACCTCGCACAGCGAATTACGGTTATGTAATGATCTACAAGATCGGGCACTTGGAACGGCCCTAAGTAAATACGCGAACCAATTTTATTTTGATAGAACCAAAATAAGAAACGCGTATATACGTGTAATGATCTACAAGTTCGGGGCACTCGGGGCAGTTATAAATTGATAAAATTATTTCTGTGTAAGTACGCCAACAAAAAACAAATTTTATTTTGATACGTAGAACCAAAATGAAGAAACACGCATATCCTACAGTCAGGAAACGTAAGACCAAACAGGTGATTATATTTTTAGTAATATTTTAAACTCTTTGGTTTACTTTTCGTGAGGAGGTATTTGGGCTAGCACGAATACCCACGAGGATCATATTCGTATGTCCTTAGGCCGCTAAAAAAGTATTTCAAAGGAGTTTGCGCAAACATAATCTAGTTACGTGCTTGTTTTGTTGTAAAACTTTGTTTATTGTATTATATAAAAATATATTACTTAATACGTGAAAATAGCGCGCATTTTCACAATAAGTATTAATTACATTCTTATTATTTAGAATAACATTTTAGAATATTTTCCAAAAGAAACAAAAAATTTACGAGGCTAAGTTTTAAATCTGTTAAAATATAATTTAGTATCATTAGTATGTATCTAATTTAAATTTGATAAAATTTTTAGATTTAACGATCATACCAGAGGAAACAAGGCCTAGACCATACATTGTAGAGCTTCCTGTTTATGAAACCACAACTTCCAGTGAACACGCTTTATTTGAAAACCCTCCACTTATTAATCCTGATCTAGTTGCCGTTTCTGCTGATTATCCAACTTCCAGTGGACATACTTTATTTGAAAACCCTCCACTTATTGATCCTGCCGTTTCTGCTGATCATCCAACTATTTCTGCAAATGCTGGTTGTGATCTAACAGCAGATCAACCCTATGATAGAATAGACACACCTGGTAATACATCATGTTTTAGTATATGCTCACCGGTATTTATGAAACCAGGAACTTCTAAATCTTATTCTGCATT